CTCTAGTCTAAGTTTAACAATTAAACGTATTAGTGCAATTTAATAAGGAAAAACAGTTTATGAGTTAGAAAGGAAAAATGGGATTTTTGCAATAATAGCCCGTGTACATACTCGTCACCTCACGTACACGGTGCCCACACATCAATTAATATCAAACATCTTAAAGGAAAGTCCCCAACACAAGGTTAGGCCAGCCACTTACCTCGAACCGCTCAAATCAACTCGATATCACGTTCTTGCCACGAGTATCCGACTCCAAATGGCCCGAATCTATTCAAATTAATTGAATAATGTAAATATAACTACAAGTAACAAATTTAACTAATTAATTCGAAGCTAAAGCGTGAAATTAGAAAAAATATCCAAAAGTCTCCCTGGGCCCACATCTCGGAACCGGGTAAAAATGACAAATTTTGAACACTCATTCACTCACGAGTCTAACCATATCAAATTTACTAAAACCCGACACCTAATGGTCCTCCAAATCCACAAATCAAACTTCCAAATCCCTAGCCTCCAACTTCCAATTTCCACACTAGGTGAAAAAATACATGGCAAAGCAAGATTATTGATCAAAAATAAGCACAAGGGACTTACCTCAAGAAATGCATCGAAAATGCTCTCAAAAATCGCCCTAAACCGAGTTTGCAAAGTCAAAAATGACAAAAACTGTGAAGCCCTTCGGTTTTAACCACTGCCCAGGTATTTTCGCACCTGCGGAACCTGGGCTCGCACCCGCGGGTGCGCTTGTGTGGAAAAAGTGCGCATCTGCGCAATTCACTTGCCCCCTCTGCCTTCCCACCTGCAACGAAAGGGCCGCACCTGCGCGTGGGTGCCTGCAGAAATCCCTTCCGCTTCTGCGTAACTTGCGTACAGTCTTGCGTTTTTGCAGGCATCGCAGATACGGCCTTTTCCCATGCACCTGCGACCCCTGACCAATCTACCCAACTCCGCTTCTGCGCGGATTTTCTCGCATCTGCGGGCTCGCACCTGCGGATAGCCTTGCGCAGGTGTGATTACGGCAGAACCAGCAAAAGCACCAGATTCTTTCTAAGTCCAAATTCATTCCGTTAAGCATCCGAAACACACCCGAGGCCCCCGGGACCCCAACCAAACCTACCAACCAATCTTATAACACCATACGAACTTAGTCGAGCCTTCAAAACACATCGAACAACACCAAAATCATGAATTAAGCACGGATTCAAGCCTAAGAATTAAAAAAATTCTAAATTCTACAAACGACGCCGAACCACATCAAATCTAGTCCGAATGACCTCAATTTTTACATACAGGTCAAAAATGACACTATGAACGTATAGCCACCTTCGCAATTCCATTCCGAGCTCGATATCAAAATTTTCACTATCGACCGAAATCGCCGAAAACTAACTTTCTCTAATTCAAGCCTAAATTTACTACAGACCTCCAAAACACATTCCAGAAGCGCTTCTAACCCCAAAATCACTCAACGGAGCTAACTGAGTCGACAGAATTTTATTTCGGATCCGTCTTCACACAGTTCTGACTACGGTCCATACTTTAAGGCTTAAACTCACAACTAGGGACTAAGTGACCCAAAACTCTCTAAATTCCATAACCAATCACTCCGGCAAGTCTCAATAGCGGAAACAAATGTGGGAAAAATAGTTATTAGGGGATTGGGGCTCAAATTCTCAAAACGACCAGTCGGGTCATTATAATAAATTGGACTGGGGCCTACGTATTAGCTCGAGGAGTTTTGAGGTGAGTTAATATAACCCTTTACTAAAGTGGTTTAACTCACAAAATCATGCATACACGGTGTTTGATGAATTTCTTAAAAGAGTTAATATGTACTTAATTGGAGCGAGTGAGTACCTATTTACTTAGAATTATTCTAGCTAAAGTTTAGATAATTTATTATGATATATATGCATAAATTTTTAGATTTTTGTGTTGTTCTTATATGCCATTTTCATGTTAAAAATTCATGAAAAAGCAAGAATCTTTAGAAATACTTTTTAATGTTTATTTCATGCTTTACATTTAAGGATACCAATATGAATATGTATAGGTTATTCTAGAAAAGATTTAGACTTGAATGGTCAAGAAAGTTGAAAAGTTGATTTAGATCCTAGCGAGGTCACATAGAACAATTTATTATTAAAATATTTTTGGGAGTATCTTCTATTCTGATAAGAGGTCATCGTCCAGGCTGAGGGTCATGATCAAGGTATTGACTTCCTGAAACTACTTGTGCCAAAGTAGGGAGCACACGAGCCGAGGGTCTCATTGCTGAGAATTTGCCTAGCCAGGCTAAGGTATGATACCTGAGTGCTGAGAACCATGAAGCGAATGACAACTCGTGGATTGGGCCTATTTGATCAGGTTGGGATCGAACCCGTGCTGATCACATAGTGACTAAGACAGAAATAAGTCACGATAGTTGGAACTCCCGAAGCATAAAGTGAATTATTTCTTTTAGATAAGAAAGAAAAAGAAAAGAATTTCTTTTAAAATATTCATAAATTGCTCTTATGCAATTATTTTAGAATTGTTCTTAGAAGCTTTATATTTTTCATGCATTTTGAATCTTTGCTTGTAATGTATATTTTATTAAAGTTCCGTTCCCTGTCGTTGAGACTCATTGAGTACAATGGATGGTACTGACATTTTCATTTAGGAACCTGCGTTGGTCTGCGGTACAACGTAGGAACCGGTTTTGCAGGCGAGCAGGATACATGTTAGGACTTTCCTCACTTCTGGTGCTATTGGTGAGCTTCGCTTTTGTTCGTGGAGTATTCCTTTGAGTCATCATTATTTAGCTATTTCTTTGTTCACTTAGAGAACTGGCTAGGAAATCTCATATCCTGAGCAGTGCTTCAGTTTATCAATAGAGGCTTCATAGACACTATCGGTGGGTTAAGGTTCAGGTGTTTTTGATAATAACTTTGCAGTATTTTAGTAGTTACTACGAATAAAGTTTTGGAGTTGATTTATTTTATATATTCAAATTAATTAAAAGTATTTGATTAAAGTATTGCCTTGTTGCATATAAAGTCTGAAGTTATAATAGTTTTGACAAGCGTAAATGATTCGCTCGGTCAAATTTAGTGATCGGGTGTCAGTCATGGCTTGTTCAGAGAATGAATCGCGGCAAAAGTGATATTTAATTTTATGCACTTTTTTCAGCAAATTATGTTTGCTTGACCACCCTTAGCATAGTGTGACTACGCTAATGTGGTTTGTGTCCAAGTAGATTAAGGCTATGGAGTATGGTCTGGATGAGGAAATCTTCTGTTGCTTTTCCCACTCACAATTTCCAATATTAATACTGGAAAACATACAATAACTATCTCAAGATTCTTTTCAGGTTCACATTTACAACTACCCTGTAGAAAGTTCTTACTATGTTCCCAACAACTAGTCTTGTCATGGCTCCAATGGCATCCTCTTCACTTAATTGATGAAATTACTATAGATTTCGTAACTCTTAGATTCAAAAAGTTTTGAAATAAGAAAAGGAATTTGAGGACATGTGAATAGTGTGTAGGGAAAGGCAGGGAGAAGAGGGTCAATTGTAGCAACTTGCAACCTTGCATCCTTAACATACGCAAGTTATAACCATTAGACTGCAATGCCGATCTAATTTTCATCGAACACTTTTAAATTAACTCTTTAAATATTAATGATAGTTTCTCTTCACATGTGAAAATCTATTTTTAGAACTAATAACCACGTACCTAATTCAATAGAATCAAATCTGGACCAAAAGAATATTGAAAAAATACTCTGTTTATGAGTGTAAAATTAGAATTGGTGTGTAAAATTTAAATATTTATAATAGCTTAACTTGGCCATATGTTTGGATGCTGAGATGCTTTATTGATTTACAAATATAAAAGAAAACAGCGTCTCGAGTATAAGTTAACGTCTTGCGAATATCTTAAAATCGACTGTAAGTTGTATTCACATGGATACAAGTCAGAAAGACCCAGCTATTAGAGGGTCAGGACATGGAATATATGGCAGTTATTATATTATATTATATAGGTGCGTAAGTATTATACTTTCATCTTCTTGACCTTTTTAACCACTTTCATCTTCTTCTTAATAAAATAAAACGACTAACAAGTTCGAGTCACTCAACTAAAATAAAACTCCAAACCACAAGTTTCGTATAACCAGGTTGAGTAGATGCTTCAATTATTTGTTCATCCTGCTTCGATGGCTTAATCGACTGACCATTGATTGAGAATTACATATGTGTGTAATCAAGACTTTTCCAGTGGACCAAATGACTAAAGAATATCTTTTTGTAAACAAGTCAACTGCAATCACTGTGCTGTTTCTTGATATATGAATGTGGAAGAGTCGCGACGCCCTGTGACACAACGTTGATTGGATTTCGAAGCATGAAAAAGGCATCACTAAAGGAACGTTTCTACCAATTCTTGCTCATGTATTTGTATTCCATCCACCACAGCTATGGTGCTACAGATACCATAACTGCGACCTATTTTCTCAAAGATGGCGGAGCCAATATTGCTTCAGCTGGTGAAACCTTTGAAATGGGGTTCTTCAGTCCAGGTAATTCTAAGCTTCGTTATGTTGGTATTTGGTACAAGAACATATCTGTTAGGACAGTGGTGTGGGTTGCCAACAGAGAAGCTCCTTTGACCAGTGGATCAGGTATTCTTAAGGTCATTGAGCCAGGTCTTCTTGTCCTTCTCAATGGCACTGACAATGTTGTATGGTCAACTAATACCTCTAGATCTGCGCAGAATTCCATTGCACAGTTGCTGGATTCCGGAAATCTTGTAGTCAAAGAAGCTGGTGGTGGTAATTTCCTATGGCAGAGTTTTGATCACCCGACTGATACACTTTTACCAGGTATGAAGCTTGGTTGGAATTTTGTAACTGACCGAGAGGTGTACTTATCATCGTGGAAGAACGGGGAGGATCCAGCTCCGGGCGATTTTACCTATCACTGTGATCCTTCTGGTTATCCACAGAACTTCCTGAAGAAGGGTAACAATGTTGTATATCGCTCTGGACCGTGGAATGGTCTTCGTTTTAGTGGGGCAACAAGCTCAAGAGATAGTCCTTTATATACATTTGGAATATTCTCAAGTAAGACAGAGGTGTATTTTACTTATAAGCTCCTATCTTCAGTTATCACAAGGCTGATCTTAAATCATAATGGTGACCTACAACGCTGGACTTGGGGTGACAGGAAACAGGATTGGGGCCCTTACCTCTCAATACCCACAGATAATTGTGATGTTTACAAGCTATGTGGCGCATATGGTAGCTGCAACAGTGTAAATTCTCCAGTATGTGGATGCTTAGACAAATTTGTGCCAAAGCATAATGAAAGTTGGCAAAAGGCAGACTGGTCAGCTGGTTGTGTTCGGAGGACTGAACTGAACTGCCTAAAAGGAGATGTATTTTTGAAGTATTCGCACGTCAAGTTGCCAGACACACGGAATTCCTTGTCCAATGTGACTATGACACTAGAAGAATGCAAGAATATCTGCTCTAAGAATTGCTCTTGTATGGCTTACTCGAATCTTGACATACGCAATGGAGGAAGTGGGTGCTTATTGTGGTTCAATGATCTGCTTGACATTCGACAGCTATCGAATGAAGGACAAGATATCTATATAAGAATGGCTGCCTCTGAATTAGGTATGTTTGTTGCTGAGACACACTTATCAATGGTTACTTTAAAAATAAAAACCTGAAGTTATGGTTGCTGGCACTTGAGATAAAGCAGACCTAAACCTAAATTTGAACTGTCTATTCTTGTAAGCATCTAATAGATTAGTACTATTAATTGCAAACTCTTGCCTTCTGCATATATATACACTCCGCTAGGAACTTAACATTTTAGTAGAATTAAAAGCTAGGAGTACTACTTTAGAGTGATGAGTGGTTTGGATTTATAAGCTGAATCAATAAACATAATGATTAGTTACAACCTAGACACTTTCTTGGAACTAATTGATATACACTTGAATTCCTCTAGGACAAGCTGGTGATATAATGCATCAGTCAAGCTAAAAACCTAGTCAAAATTGAAGGGGTTTAGTTGGAATGAAGCTCATTTTGAAACTGACTTATAGTGCCTCAAATGCTTCCAGCTTATCTAATACTCAATATCAACAAATTAAAAATAAGTATACTGTTCCAAAGGCTTGCAGAACCTTTGTAACTCAGTATCATATCAACTCCTTTAAGCAATTGAGAGGTAGAAAGACGGTCAAATATATTAATCATCTTTGTTGAAGTGGACACTTGCAGTTGCAGATAGTCGGGAGAAATCAGATGGAAAGATAAGAAAAATACTCTTATGGATTCTGCCATTATCAGTTGGTGTGATTCTGGTAATCCTTATCGTTTTGATCTGCCAAAGAAGAAGGAAGAAGGCTTTAAACATCATAAAGAAAGGTAAGCTGGATAAGTCACTTTTTGCGAAGGCACTAAAATTCAAACAAAGTGAAGAACTGTCTTATTGGTCTGGTTATTGCAGATTAAAAACAATTCACTCTATTTCCTTTTGGCAGGAAAGTGTGGACGCAACGGAAATTTCAAGATGGATTACAACAGTGGTAGTTGCACTGAAGAATTTGAGATACCACTGTTTGACTTATCTACCATAACTAAGGCTACCAATAACTTTTCAGCTAAGAGAAAGATTGGAGAGGGGGGCTTTGGTCCTGTTTACAAGGTAAATACACCAATTTATCCCCAATAGAATACAGCAAAAACAGAAGCACAGATAAATTTTGTGGGCTTAACAGAAAATGAAATGAAGTTACGATCTGGAGTAACAAATTTGGTCAGACACACTTAAACTAGTGAGCAAAGTATAATGAATCAAGGATATGGTGGAGTGATTTTTACCTAAAACTAAAACTTTACTGATTTTCATATAACTGCTGAATTCTTCTTTATTTGGAAGCATAACTGACTTTGCACTTTCTACTTTCAAGTAAGATATTGAAAATATTTAATATGCATAGATTATGATGTCTAGGGAATACTTGAACAAGGACAGGAAGTAGCAGTCAAGCGGCTGTCTAAAACTTCTGCACAAGGAGAAGATGAGTTCAAGAATGAAGTTGTATATATTGCCAAGCTTCAGCATAGAAATCTTGTGAAGATTCTCGGATGCTGCATTGAAGGGGGAGAAAAAATGTTGATCTTAGAGTACTTGCCAAACGGAAGTCTTGATTCGTTTATTTTTGGTACTACTCCCCATCCAATAGTGTGCATATTGATTAATAATTGTTCAGTCAGCTGATGCTTATAGGAGTTCTACATCCATAATCTTACCCCCATCAAGAAGGAAAAAGCATGTGAGGAGAGAACCAAGAGCTACTCGCATTAGGAATGGACTAATTTAGTCTGATGTTTTAGTACTACTTTATACTAATGCCTGACTATTGTATAATGAATCAACGATATTTTGGCAGGTGACAGACAAAGCATGGTATTAGACTGGCCTAAGCGCTTTCACATTATCAATGGGATTGCTCGGGGACTTGTGTATCTGCATCAAGATTCTCCATTGAAGATAATTCACAGAGACCTGAAAGCTAATAACATTTTGCTAGACAATGACATGAATCCAAAGATATCAGACTTCGGCATAGCAAGAATTTCTGAAGAGGACGAGATTGGAGCCATGACAAATCGAGTTATTGGAACATAGTAAGAATCTATTACCGCCTAGTTGGAAATATGAACCTAAAAACAATCCTGAGATAGTTAAGGTACATTTTCCAGCATTAGTAACTCTTTTTTTTCGCGTACATTTTATGCAGTGGCTACCTCTCACCAGAATATGCATTGCACGGGGAATACTCAGTGAAATCAGATGTATTTAGCTTTGGTATATTAGTACTGGAAATTGTGAGTGGGAAAAGCAACAGAAGATTCTCTCCTCCAGACCTTAGCCTTAATCTACTTGGATATGTAAGATTTTATTTTGCTTGTATCCTTTGGTGTTATATTATCTACTAGTAACAGATATCTCCGCAAAGCTAGTCAGTGCTAACAAGCTTGTAATATCTACAGGCGTGGGAGCTGTACAAAGAAGGAAGGTCAATAGAACTACTTGATGAACACCTATGCGATTCTTGTTTAACACCTGAAGTGGAACGATCAATCCGTGTTGGTCTACTATGTGTCCAACAACGTCCAGAGGATCGTCCAAGTATGTCTTCCGTGGTTCTGATGCTAAACAATGAAGGTCCATTGCCACGGGTTAAACAACCAGGTTTTTACGTAGAAGAAGATGCACAGTATGTTGAATTATTTTCTAGCCAATATGCACATACTATATAACAGATGAGATTCCATTATAATATAATTAGATTCCAGACAGAGAAAGCTGGTGACTCTCTTGTCTGCAACAAATTCTTTGTAGCAATGTGGCTAATTAAGCTTGCATTGTAACATATTATTGTTAATCCTTCTCAAAATATATGTTTGACATTCTTGTTTCAAACACTGAAGCGAGAATTTCAGTAATGTAAAGCTAGAGAAAGATAGCAGACCAATGAATGTTAGCAATAGCACTGTCAAGCACGCATATATATATATTTTGGCTAATGACTAGTATTGTGTTGTGCTTGAGTATACTTTAATGCCAAGGGATTGTCACTTCAGTAGAATAAAATCATTACAAATAGGCGTGTACAGAGATCTCCATTAGTATCTTTGTTTGACCAAAAATATAGATTTTGGTTCAACTAATTAAATTTATATAAATGAGGGTTAATCTTGGTTAATAATAATATCCTAAAGACGAAATTCTTGGTAGTGTGATAAATAGCACGTAGACCTATTCCAAAAACTATGACGGTATACAATAATCAATATTTAAGAATCCAAACAGAAGTAATGTAGCATTAAATAATGATAAATAACAATAAATGATATTTATGTAAACAGAACGAATGAGTCACCCGAGAACTATTATAACTTCATACTTTATATGCAAAAGGCAATACTTTAATCAAATACTTTTAATTAATTTGAATATCTAAAATAAACCAACTCCAAAAATTTATTCGTAGTAACTACTAAAATACTGCAAAGTTATTATCAAAAACACCTGAACCTTAACCCGCCAACAGTGTCTATGAAGCCTCTATTGATAAACTGAAGCACTGCTCAGGACATGAGATTTCCTGGCCAGTTCTCTAATTAAATTTATATAAATGAGGGTTAATCTTGGTTAATAATAATATCCTAAAGACGAAATTCTCGGTAGTGTGATAAATAGCACGTAGATCTATTCCAAAAGCTATGACGGTATACAATAATCAATATTTAAGAACCCAAACATAAGTAATGTAGCATTAAATAATGATAAATAACAATAAATGACATTTATGTAAACAGAACGAATGAGTCACCCGAGAATGGATGAAATCAATGGATGTTCTTTCATACAATGATGAATGATGGATAAGCCTTTGAATATCCAAGTTATTCTCGGATCCAGTAGAAAAGTGTGGACAAGAATCTTAGTGAAAAGGTTATTTTGTAGGCTTACAATAAGACCAGCTTCTCCCTTTAAAGTCAAAATGTATTTAACAAATGAATATCTCATGTCCCCTATCATTGCATCTCTTTCTATTTATAGAGAACATGTTCCTAGAAACCCTAATAGTACAAGTGTGAAAGATATCCACTAGAATATTCTCTTTAATGTCCTATCTTGAAACTAGCCGTTATAACTCTGTCAAGGGTATTCGACCTCGGCCTCGATCCTTGATGACTCCTCGACTTCAGCCCTTGCTGACTCTTCGACCACGACCTTCATTGTTTCTTAGAGCACTTCAACACGTGGCGGCCTGGGAATGTTTTACTAATGCCATTTTGACTTGAGTATTCTAGAGATAGATTTTGACTCATATAGTTAATCCCTCCGCTTATTGAGGCCGACTTGACGGGCGGGTTCGATGAGCGAATCATGTTGTTGGTGGTCGAGTTAACCAAGCGGACTACACGAGTTGTAGTTGTTGCGGCGAGCAGGCGATGTGGCCATCTATGGGTCGCACATTTCAAATGCTTCGAATTTTTTGGGTGATTTGCTGGAGTTATGTTGTCCATGGGTTAGGATGATGTCATGATGTCATGCGTCATTATGACACATTTTCCCAATGCGTCGCTCCGTTTTGCGTGTGACCTTTGATTAGACCTGCCGCTTCGGTTCCGGTGCCAATCATTTTGAGCCGTTTTTGGTTTCGGTGCCATGACATTTATAAATAGAGACCCTTGGACCTGATTTTGGAGTTTTAAACCCTCTAACATTTCGAAACACCATACCTTTCTCTTGCTCTCTTCTTCTCCGAATTTCTTTCCTTTGTTTCAGTGACCAATATTGTTCTTCATTCCTTCTCATTTGTTACTCTCCTCTACTATGTTGAATCATATCTAACGTATCTTCTGATGTTGGTAAGGGGAGTCATGTTGCTCCCTTGGCAGTGGTATTTCCCTTCCATAGGGAGAGCACTTCCGCCATTGTTGAGGATGAAACCTTTCCGTCGGTAGAAGAAATTGTCCCGCGTAATCCTGAATCCACATCTGACCTTAACAAAGTACCGGATGCCGTGCCTGGAGTCCTTAAATCAACGATGATGCCTAAGGAATTGACGGAACTTAAGGCCAAATTCGGCCTTCCAAACCATATTGAGCTGATTTCGGATGAGGGGGATGTAGTACAGGTCCATCGTCCTGGGTACTGCGCTCTTTATGCCTATCCTTTCCTCATAGGCTATTCTTTCCCCCTCCCCCTGTTAGTGGAGAAATTTTGTCGCCATTTGGGCATCTTCCCAGCTCAGCTTGCGCCGTACGTCTACAAGGTGATTAAGATGCTGACCAAATTCACCGAGCTTGTCGGGGTCGAGCTAACGTTACAACACTTGATACATTTATTCGCCCCTGGCTTTTATAGGGGGATGATGTTGAACCTTCGCCACCGAGAAGGAAAATATTTGGTTGTGAAGATGGACGATAAAGTCAATCGTCAATTTTGGCTTAACTTCTTCTTCATCAGGACCGAGGACGTCCTGGCCAGCATCAACGGCTTTCCTGAAGCGTGAAACTACACTCATGAATGCCCAGTTTCTTTTTTTTGCATTTGTTTTTGGTTCCGAGTTTTGATGTTTTTACTGTTGCTCTTGCAGCCAATGTCCAACCTCCTCCTCTGGTCTCTCATATCTCTGACTGGGTCGAGCGACTCCTCCCCCACATCATGGGGATCCGTGATTGGCCAAGTTATTTCAAGAAATTCTAGGGTAATCTCCTTTCTTTTATCGTGGCCGCTCCATTTCCTATTGTGCAAGAATTTGTTTTGCTAACTTAATGTTGTCTTTTTCTCAACCAGGGGTTCTTAGAGGAGCCGGGCACTAGTGCCCTCCTTTTGCGACTACTATGTCTTCCGTGCCGGTCTCAACCTCAGCTGCTGCAGTTTGGGAGCCCGTATCCGTTCCATCTGCAACTTCTGCTCCCCAACTCTATTCGGTGGTTGATGAGGACGGAGTCTCTCCTGATTGTGGCTTTGTCCTCCGAGAAACGGCCACAGTGCATATTGGAGAGAGCTCTAAGGCAAGTCCCGAGGCCCCTTACCTGGAGGAAACTTGCATGTGTCATGTGGGGGACACGATCGAGGGCATGGTGCATAATGATGGCCTTGCACTCCCGAGGTGCGAGGAGGCCTCATTTCTAGGGTCGCGGTAGATGTGCCTTCTTTGACTGGTGGTAGAAGGAAGTCTATCGCCGAGTAGGACGATGGGTCGATCTCCTACATGGATATGGACAAGTTGAGGATGATCGATGAGGGACTCACTCAACTCGAAGTGAGGTTGGAAGGGGGTTCAAGGAGTATTGCGATCCCGATGGATTGTAACCTACTTGTAAACACCAAGGAAATAATCCCTGCCCTTGGTCCTCTTTGTTATGAAATTTGAGGGTACGACCCTCGAGATGATAGATGACAACACTCTTTCCTATAACATTGCTGGATTTGCTCTCCGAGTAAGTACAACCACCGTCCATTCTTTTCTTTATGTTTTGCTTTCTTTTGTAAGCTCTAATTTCCTTTCTTTGCTTTGCAGACGGTTATTTTGGAGATCAAGAGTGCTCTCTAGGAGAAGAAACGTAAAGATATTTATGTGAAGTTGAAAGAAAAGTATTTCAAATTTATTGAGAAGTGTCGGGAGCTCCGGCGTCGGATCCGCGGGGGCGGTGATGTGCGACAACTTAGGGAGGATTTGAAGGAGTGGGACGAGGAGTTAATGTGGGTTATGGAGAAATGCAGTGTTTTGGAAGGGACGTTGAGGAGCAAAGAGGAGGAGCTCGAGCTTAGCAGGGGTGTAGAAGCCCAATGCAGTGATCTCTAAGCCTAAGTGGTCCTGCTATGAGGCCAACTCGAAGAATGTCAGTTTAGGGAGGAGGCTCTTGTGGCGAGGTCGCCGATAAGTAAGATGAGATAGAGAAGGCGGAGTCTGCTCGGTCGAAAGCTTTGAGGAAGAAAGAGTCCCTTGAAGTGGTGATCCGAACTCTCTATCCCGAGCGAGAAAATGACTTGTCAATGGCAAGTCTTAAAGAATAGAGGCTTGATGAAAGGATTGGGGAGTTGGAGAAAGAGACCCCTGATCTTTATGATCGGGTTGCTGCTCCGGAGACCGAGAAGGCCAAACTACTTGAACGGCCTTCTTTATCTGCGGCTTCTGGCTTCCCCGACATTCCTTGTGAGTTATACAAAGAGTTGATTCATGCCGAAGCCTGACTGGATGTGCTTCGTGAGTTGCATGTAGCGGGCTCCATTTATGTCGCAGACTTCGAGGGTGCTCGTGTCAAGGCTCGCGAGGCCCAGATTGCTTGTGGTTATGATATGACTACTCCTCGTCCTGGTGAGGAAGATGAGGGTGATGAGGATGCTATAGATCACCTCGAGGGAGAGGCCTAGTATGATTCCATATACTCTCTGGGCGAGGATGGACATGGCGATGAGGGTTAGACTGACGAGGGTGTTGCGGGCCGTGATAGTAGTAATCAGCAGTAGTTCTTATTTGTTTTTGCTTTTTCTGAAGTTTTTTGTGTAGTTTTGCTGGCGTCTTTACGAGACTATGTAAGAAACTTTTGTTTATAATATCAGAGTTGGCTTTTCCTTTATTTCACACCTTTCTTATTTGCTGTGGTTTGTTTCTGTACTTTGCGTGTTTTGCTCCTTCATGTTTTTGTTGTTGTTCTTGTATATATTAAGGTTTGTCGGAACGAGGCCGAGGATTAATAGGCATTATTCGAACTTGGTCGAATCTTTACTTCTTTAAATCGTGGCCGAAGGCCGGTAGGTGATGTTCGTACTTGGTCAAACTTATCTTTTAATAATCTCGACCGAGGGCCGCTGGGTGTTGTTCGAACTTGGTCGAACTTATATTTTAATAAACTCGACCGAGGGCCGATAGGTGTTGTTCGAGCTGAGTCGAACATAACCTTTTCATAGTCATGGCCGAGGGCTGATCGGTGTTGTCCGAACGGGGTCGAACACAACCTTTT